AATATATCAGAGTTGAAGAGCCAAAAATGCATCAAAGAAACCTAAAACCAACCACCACACACCTGTGAGGATAGCTGGGGTAAGTCTGGTGAGGATATATAGAGAGGGGAGTCCTCCCACAATGGATTGGTGGGAATGTAAATTAGGAGAGGTATGATGGAAAACTGTCGGGAGCTTCCTCAAAATTAAAATAGAACTTCCAAATGGATTTAAAATCCCGCTACTGTGTATATCCTAAGGGATTGAAATCAGTATTTTAGAGACATCTGCACTTCCAGTTTTTTGCTGCATTGTTCACAATAGACAAGATTTGGGATCAATGTAAATGTCCACTGGAGAATAAATGGATAAAGAAAATGTGTTATATAAATAATGGAATGCGATTCAGCCTTCAGAAACTAGGAAATGATGTAATTTGCCACCAGAAGGATGAACCTGAAGAACATTATATTAAGTAAAATAAGCCAAGCACAGAGGAACCAATACTACATGATCTCACATCTGAAATCTAAAGAAGTTAAACTCATAGAAGTGGAGAGTAGAATGGTCATCAGCAGGGGTTGGAGAGGGGTGGTGGGAAGATGTTGGTCATAGAATACAAAATTTCAGTTAGGCAGGAGGAATAAGCCAAGAGAGCTATTGTGCATCATGGTGACTATAGTTAACAATAATGCACTGCATTATTGAAAATTGTCCAGAGAGTAGATTTTAAGTGTATTCCACAGCAAAAAGTAAGTATGTGAGGTAACACATCTGTTAATCCGCTCAAGTTAGCCATCACAATGTATACACACTTCAAAACATCTTGTTGTACAACCCCCAAAATACAGATTATTTTGTCAATTAATAAAAAACAAAGAAATTAAAAGCTAAACTTGGGGGTATTCAGTATAATTAATGGTCAGATGAAAGAAAGATGGGAACTAAAATAGTCAAGAAGAGGTACTGGAAAAAGGAGGAAGGTCAGGCTTTGGAGGTAGAGAGGAGGAGAAAGAGCATGCTGGGTGTGGAGAATAACACAGACCACGTCTCAGAGAGGCATCAATGTGTAGCACCAGATTCAGGAGCAGTAGAGAGGCTGGTCTGTCTTCTCAGTCACCTTCAATCTGAGCCTTTGCTTCTGTTGCTTTCTGGAATACCCTTTCCCACACAATTTTTAAATTTTCTTAGCATAAATAAAAGTTGACTTCATGATGTACTCATTGTGCTCTGACCTAAGTGCTATAGTACCAGAGCAGTTAGGCTCATTCTGGGTTGACCCATTTGTCTAATTTTCCCAGCTTTGTAGCTCCTTTAGTGTAGGGAACATGAATTGTTTGTTGTCTTCTCCCCAATGCCTGACACATTTGGTTACCTACATAGTAGTTGGCACTTAACAAATGGTGGTTGAATGAATGAATGAGAAACCATAGTCTGTGGTTATATCTCATATGGGCAGGTGAACACAAGAGCTGTCGTGTTTTGCTTTGAACATTGAGTCCCCACTACTTAGGAGAAGTTGTCATAAACATTATGGGATTTAAGTTGGATAGATGAGAGATGTTTGCTAGCTCAATTTAGGAAAATTTATTGGAGGTGGCAGTGTAAATGTGGTACTAGACCAGACAATAGGCCAGAGACAGGGACATAGGAGTTAACAATTTGGATGTGCAACTTGACTTCTTCAATCCAGAGGTAGTCAGGACACTAGGTAATAATTCATGCTGAGGCTGTGAACATATTCATTTTATTTAGAGATTTGACAGGGAAAGGAAGGGAATTGTAGGTGGATAACTTGAAGAAGCAGGAAAGCCTAGTAGTTTAATTCAATAACAAGAATTATTGGCATATGCTTAACAATGGAAGGGAGAGTTCCTAGGGAGAAAGAGAAGTGGAAGTTGTTGTATGTGAAAGGGTTATTTAAAGTATCTAGATGGTGGAATGCAATGCCATATGGTTCTGAGTGAATGTTCATGAGAAAAATCTTCCTTTCCTAAAGATTTTCTCATGAACATCCTTTCCTAAGGATGGGGTCATGAGTATGAGAAGAGACCTGGGGTTGGTAAAGTATGGAAAGGAAGAGGAGGATGTGGCAATGATTTCGTCTTCATGTAATTAGAGGCTCACCAGGAGTCTAGATGTGAAAAGTGAGTTTTAGGAGAGATGGTTCTTTTGTACATTAGGAACATGCACAGAGCTGAATGCACAGATTTCTGAAGGATAGCATCTAAGTGTAGACTGAATGTGAGTAGCAGTGATGTGTAGTGAGCAGCCGTGTACTAAATTAGTAGCACAACTTCAGTTGGGGAGTGGGAATGGAGGAGGAAGGAGCTGTGGGCATGAGTCAGCCAGGAGGATGGAATCAGTGGGTGGAGTCTAGAAGTGAGGATAGACACACCCACCCTTGGTTTCTGGTGAGGAAATGGAACTGTGAAGGAGCTGGTGCATTTGAATGAAGAGTAATGGCTGAGTGTCAGGAAGCCCCAGTGCCACTGCAGAGGAAGTTTGGTGACTGCAGGGCAGAGGAAGGAAGTTATCAAGATGGCCTCAAGCTGTGTGTTCCTTAGGCCAAATTATAAAAATAAGCAAAATCTGCTTTATTGCCTTTCCACTTCTATATCTTTGATATTCTTTGACTTCCGTAAGCATCCCACATTCATGTTTTCGTTCAATAAAAATTGATGGTGAACTTCCTTCATGGCGGGTGGAAAGCCATATACTGGGGGTGCAGTGAACAGAGACAGATACATTCTTAAACTTTTGGGGCTACCGAGGATGGTGAGTTTGAATAGCTTAATGTAGGTTGGTTTGCTTTGTTCCTTTTATAAACAAGGCACATAAAAATTGCTGGAAATCTCCATTATAAAATAAGGTCGAAGGCTTAGAATGAACCTCTTAATTCTGGTGAAGATTTGATAATAATGTAACAATCTTTTGAGAGGATATCTAACCATGTTTTTTTTTTTTTTTAAACCATTCAACTCTTTGAAAATCATTCGGTTCTTTCTGTGCAAACCCAAGTTGGCCAATTTAACCTGGAATTTTAATCAGGAGGTTTATAAAATGCACTGATTCAATGTAACATTCAGTACACCAGATTCCGCTAGAATTCCACCTGTTGGTTTTAAATCAGTCATTGAATGAATTTGATATTCAGTTAGCAATCATACTGAGCGTTTTGTGTGCACAACACAAGGACTGTGTATCATCAAGAAATTTGCAGGTAATTAAGACTATTTTAGAATGTAAGGTTTGAATATGATTTGTACCCCAAAACTCCAGTGTTAATGCAGGAATGTGATTGAACGTCACTGATCCATCCTAGTTTGAATGAATGGGTGGTAAGTGCAGGCAGGTGGGGTGTGGCTAGAGAGGTGGGTAACTGGGGGTACCCTGGAAGGGTAGATCTTACCTGTGACCCCCTCTCTCTCTTTGCTTTCTTGCTTCCATGAAGGAAAGAGCTTTTCTCCATTGATCCCTCCCTCCATGACATACTGCCTCACTTTGGGCCCAGGGCAGTGGAATTGACCTTCTGTGGGTCAAGACCTCTGAAACTATGAGCCACAAATAAATTTTCTCTCCTCTAAGTCATTCTCATTGGGTGTTTTAGCCACCATGATGAAGGATCTGACTAAAACAGAATGGTTGCCAGCCTCTGGCCCCTTAGAGAATCAAGGTGTTAGTATTTACTGTGTTGTCTCTCAACTGGCCCATCCTGAATTCAAGAGCTAATACAAAATGCAGTATATTATGGTTGAAAGAAAAATAATAATAAAGGTAGCTCAGTGGGAAAAAAATAATTAAGCCAAAAGTAGAAAGAGCTAATGATTAGGAACATAAGAAAGCCAAAGGACAGCATTGGCAGTGTCCTGTTATGGAATATGGTAAACTTGGCTTGTTGACTCTAATAAGGTGTTTCTCTTCCATCGGGTATTTCTCATAGTTTTCCTACTTGGGAAAATATTCTGGGCTTATCTCCATTGTTAGAGGGCCATGGTGTTTAAATAAACTTCAGTGGTAGCATTCTAAATTTTCTATTTTAGATTCCTGTGAGTTTGGTTGGCTTTAGCCTCTGATAAACCAGAGAAGTCCACAGCACCAAGTTTCTCAATGACTGAAGCTGAGGGCTACCCAACCTGGAGTCTCATCAGTAAGGTCCCTCTGGGGTTGCTTTATCCTGGCAAGTCTCCCAGCCTTGCACTTTGGTGCAGTGTCGTATAAGCAATACCAATAATGATTAACTGAGCACTTTATCTTCTCCAGTGTTAACAGTTACCCAAGTAACAACATATTCTCTCACCGCTCATGCACAGTCACTTGCAGGGTACACTTGCTGCTTTGCAGAAAGCATTCTTGAACCTTGGCAGAGCTGAGCTTTAGTGTTAGTTCTGCTGCTGGGTGACTGTGTTTAAGTCAATTAAAATCTCCTAGCTTTAGCTTCCATATCTGTAAAATATAGACTCCTATTTGAGGGTTGGAACAGGAGGAGTTTGTGGCCTAGTAACTGGATGAAACTTTGTTACTGTTTACAGAAAATTTTGGTAGAGAGGAAAAGTCCCCAATTTTTTCTTTAAAATCAGGAAGGAGGGGAAGAGGATTAGATAACCCCATCTAGGGAGAGGTTCTGCTGGGAAGAAGACAAGCATAAAGGTGGGGGCTTGTCAACATTCCAGGACAGTGGCTTCCCTCCCTGTTGCTCTTCAGAATGGGCCACCAAGTTCTATGCATCTGGAAAAATTCAGAATGAAAGGCTTCGAGAAGGGGGTGGGGGAATCGCCATGCCCGGTCAGGGTCCCTTGGGTAGCCCTCATCCCTTTCACTTGCAGGACCCAGCAGTTCTTCCCGGGGACCGCGGTTACTAAGCGCGAGAGCGTCCCTGGCAACCTCCTTCCGCGGGGTTTCCTTCCAGGCCTTGCAGCTCCTAGCTCCCGCCTCTCCCTTGACCGACCAATCGGCTCCCGGCGAGTCGCCCGGGGCAGCCGTTGAGTGGCCCGCGGGAGCTGAAGCCTCAGATGGGGAAAGGCGTGGCCAGAGGCCGGACCGCTCGGGGTCTGAGCCTCAGTGGGCGATGGTAGTGGGTCCTAGACCTTTGCTTTCAACGCCCCTTTCCCCGCCCCTCGCCGGCACACAATGACAGGTGAGTGGTCTCCTCGACCCGCGCCTGCCGCTGGGGTGACCCCCAGCAGGGTCCCTCCTCGCCTGTTAGGGCTCCAACGTCTGGCCCCAGAATCGCGGGAAGGTCGCGGAAACCCTGCATTCCTCCCCTGGGTTTTCACTTTTCTGTCTCAGCCTCACGTAAATCCGAACAAACCCACCGACACCTCCTACCTGGTCTCCTGCGCACGCGTGATTTATCTTTCTGATGCTTTTCAGGGATTGAGAAGTTATTAAACCAGAAAAAGAGCATCCGAGCCCCAGGGTCATGCAATTTCTTACACCTGTTAGCAGTTTTAAGATAGCGGATAAAATATTCTCCCCCCCCCTTTTTTTTAAATGAAATACTCCACACAATAAATATAATAAACAAGCATCCATGTGCCTAATACTAACTTATTGTTTTCCACTGTGGTGCTTGCCGCCCCAAACATGTCCCTCTTGTTCCTTCTGCTTCACTGGGCAGGGTTTTGCAGCCACTGGGGGGGTCTTACAATCACTTGGTGGTTCAAAGACAGGATTCCTTTTTTTTTCCTTACATTTATTTATTTAAATTTTTGTTATTTATTTTTTAAATACATTACAATAGTGGAATGCATTACACTCATTATTACCCATGTACAGCACGATTTTTTGTAACTCTGTATATATATATATATATATATATATATATATATATATATGCCAAATTATGCCATTATACATGTACTCTTTTTTTGCATTATAATTCTTTTTTTTTAAAATTTTTTATTGTTGGCTGTTCAAAACATTACATAGTTCTTGATATATCATATTTCACAATTTGATTCAAGTGGGTTATGAGCTCCCATTTTTACCCCATATACAGATTGCAGAATCACATCAGTTACACATCCATTGATTTACATATTGCCATACTAGTGTCTGTTGTATTCTGCTGCCTTTCCTATCCTCTACTATCCCCCCTCCCCTCCCCTCCCCTCCCCTCCCCTCTTCTCTCTCTGCTCCCTCTACTGACATTCGTTTGTCCCCCTTATATTATTTTTCCCCTTCCCCTCACTTCCTCTTGTATGTACTTTTGTATAACTCTGAGGGTCTCCTTCCATTTCCATGCATTTTCCCTTCTCTCTCCCTTTCCCTCCCACCTCTCATCCCTGTTTAATGTCAATCTTCTTCTCATGCTCTTCGACCCTACTCTGTTCTTAGTTACTCTCCTTATATCAAAGAAGACATTTGGCATTTGTTTTTTAGGGATTGGCTAGCTTCACTTAGCATAATCTGCTCTATGCATTACAATTCTTAATACACATATATACCACAATTTTTTCATATCTCTGTTTGTATATAAGATATGTTGACTTCAAATTCAAATCTTCATACATGTATTTTTCAGACTGGTCAAGTGTTTTTTCTCTGTCCAAGGCCATTTCTGTTCATCTCTGTCTGAGAAGCTCTCACGTAGGTTTTGGCAGTTAAACCTAGTCCCTTAAGGTTTTCTTCTGGTTTGCTCATGATGTTGTAAGAAACATTCTGGAACTGGGTAAAATTATTCACTTGGTCATTGTGAAAAAAGCAAGCAAAGAGTTATAATAATAAGTATTAGTGTTTTGAGGCATCTGATAAAATATTCTAGTCTTTTTTTTTAAAAAATGGAATACTTCACTCAATAAGCCCAGTCAGCAATTATCTTGTGCCTAGCCCTAACATAGTTTTTATCTCCCTAAAAAAATGGTTACAGGTACAGCTGAGGCCTCTAGCTCATTCTCCTCTCTCCTTCCTTATTGTACTCACCTACCAAAATTTAATGTTTACTTATATCCAATGTATTTTATATTCTTACTACTTATTTATCCAAAGACCAATATATAGTGTTGTTTTTAGTTTATGTAATAGTATTATACTGTACATGCTCTACGTGATTCACTAGGTGATGTGTGCCAATTCTTACACGAATTTACCAAAATTTACATATCTATCCTCCTATTGATGGACTTTTGGGTTGCTCCCTTTAAAAAATATTAGTGAAATATTCTTGTACATTCTGATTTTATACATATTCGAATTTCTCTAAGTATACATCAAGGAGTTGAAGAGCTGAGTCACAGAGAATGTCCCCTTTCAAGTTTTCTAGATACTGTACATGGCTGTCCAGTGTGTAGTACTTCATACATCATCAATAAACAGAATTTCTTTCCATTTGGAGGGGGGAAGAGAGATCATTTAGCTTTTCCTTTATTAGTCAGTCGTATGCATAAAGAAACATGACTTAAACATTGAAATCTGGTATCATTTCTTCTGATTCTGTTATAATGTATTTGTGGCAATGTTTTATTCCTTCTCTAGTTTGAAACTCAGTAAGTAGATAGAACTAAAGGAACTAGGGAGTTGAATGGGAGACACTTTGAAGGCTCTGCTTACCACAGATCTTAGGCAGGGGTGGGAAATTTCAGTAAACTTTTTATATTTGTGTCTTCTGCAGAAATGATGCATAGATTTTTATATCTTAAAATTTTTATGAGCTTAAAGTCTGGCCTTAATGTGCTAATAAAATATGTCATTTTATTTGAGGCCAGATTTTGTATTATCAATGAAACTTCTCAGTATTTCAAATGTCTGTGATTGGTTCCATATTTATCTCATGTCAATATTTACAGAAGACTATTATAGCTTTTTTCAGTATTTAAATACCTATTGACCACACATTAAATGAACCTAGCCAAACACTATGCTTGATTGTGTAGCACATGTCTCAATTTCTTAAAATGCTATTTGGGTATGAATAAAACCATAATAAAAAAACAATTGCCTGATCAAGGGGATGGACTTTTCCATAGCTGTTTTCATTCATTTTTCCAAAGAATTTGTTTAATTTCCTTGAAAATATGAGATATTTATAGCATTAGTTAATAATCTTAGTATGTGCTGCACATGCCCCCTTTGGAAATGACTGAATTAGGATGTAGAGAAGTTAAAACATTGTAAGGGACATAGATCAGCAAAAGAAACCATAGGCTTTTAAAAATGGAGGAACGATTTCTTCCTTCGAAGTTTGGTAGAATCTACCAGTCAATACTAGGTTTGAGGTTTTATTTGAGGGAAGACTGAATAGATTCAGTTTCTTTAGTCACTACAGGGGTACTTGGGCTACCTATCTCTTCCTTGAGTTTGACTATTTATATCTTTTTAAATAATTTTATCCGTTCATGATTGGCATAAAGTTGTCAGCAATATTGTTTTATAAACTTTTTAACATTTTCTGGGTTTGTAGTAATATTCCCTCTTTTGTTTCTGATATTAGTAATTTTTCCTCTCATGTTTATAAGTCTGGCAAGAGGTTTACCAGTTTTATTGATAGGGTTTTATTAATTTTTCCCTACTTGCCCATTTTCTGTTTCATTGATTTTTTTCTATTATTTTTTCCTTGTATTTTGTGTTTGCTTTGTGTTTTTCCCCCACCAAGATTAAAATACAGGTCACTGATTTTTGGCTCATTCTAATTTTCTAATAGAAGCGGTAAAACTATAACCTTCCATCCAATTACTATTTAGATGCGTTTCACAAATTTTGGTGTTCTGTTTTTATTCTCATTAAGTGAATGCAATTTTCTAATTTCCTGTGTGATTTCTAGACTGGTTCATGAGTTATTTAGAGCTGTGTTGTTTAATTTTCTTCTGTTTGGGGACTTTCCAAATATCTACTATTTATTTCTAATTCTGATATGTTCAGAGAACATACGTACTTTGTATGATTTCAATATTTTATGATTATTTGAGACTTGTTTTATGGTATATAATATGGTCTATATTGGTGAATGTTTTCTACGCAGTTGGGAATAGAACAATCTGCTCTTTGGGGTAGATGTTTTCCTGATATAAATTAAGTCCAGGTAGTTGTAATGTCATTCAAAAAGTCTGTTAGCCAATTTTCTGTTTACTTTTTCTATTAATTACTGAGCAAAGAGTGTTGAAATATCCAACTACAATTGTGTATTTGTCTATTTCTCATTTTAGTTCTCAGTCTTTTTGTTATTCATTTCTTAATGATATTAGATAGACATTTAAAATTGTATGTCTCTTTGATCCCTTTATCCTTATTTCTAACTTTATCTCTGATAATATTTCTTGTTCTGAAATCTATTTGGTAGCCGCTTCAGTGTTCTTTTGGTTTGTGTTTACAAAGTATACATTTTTCTGCACTTTCAATTTTAACTTATTTGTGTTTTATATTTAAAATGGGAGTTTTCTAGTCAGCATACAGCTTAATATTGTTATTCAAAAACTATTCTAAAAATCTGTGACTTTTAATTGGATTGTTTAGACCATTTATTGTAATTATCGATATAGTTGGATTTATATCTATCATTTTGTAATTTGTTTTTGCTTTGTCTTGCTTTTTCCTCCCCCCCCCTTAAATTAATTATATGTCTTCCATTTTTTTCTTCACTTTTTGCTTATTAGCGAGAACTTTTTTTTTCCTTAGAAATTACTCCAGGTCAGCAACACTTTGTTATCTTGGTCAGGACCCCTTTACAAAATATTGAATATCTCAAAGGGCTTTCATATACATATGTATACTTATATATGTGTATATATATATTTATATGAAATTAAAATTTAGAAACTAAAATATGAATTCATTTAAAAAACTGTAATAACACATTATATACTAACAAATTACATATTTATTTATTTATTTTAATATTTATTTTTTAGATGTAGATGGACACAACACAATGCCTTTATTTCTATGTGGTGCTGAGGATCTAACCCGAGTCCCGCTCGTGCTAGGCGAGTGCTCTACCTCTGAGCCACAATCCCAGCCCCCTACATATTTATTAAACATGAATTTCTACAACAAAAATTACTGATAAATATGGTATTGGTTTACATTTTTGATAAAGTTCTTTAATTTCTAGTTTAATAGCTGAATTTACATATATTTTTTGCTCATTCTGTTGTGATATCACATGTAATGACACCTCTGGAAAGCACTGTAAATTTGTGAGATAATGGGTCAAAAAAAAAAAGGTGAATAGCATCCAAGTATTTACTATTAAAATAATTTTAACTTTTTCACTCCTGAAAAGGTCTTAGACTGTGAATGGGGAACTTAGGTTACATTGTTGAGAAAACTACTGCTCTAAAGTTTGCAACATGGGTTTTTAACTATCACAGGATACATTTAAATAACATTCTATTCAGTTATAAGACCTATGTTATATTTCCATCTAAACCCTCAATTATTTGTACTCATTACCATATAATTACTTGTATTTTATACACTCCACAAGAAACTTTTTTGTTATTTTTATTTTAACCAAATTTGAAAGGAAATTTGAAAAGAAATTTGAAAGTTAGGAAAGTTTTCTTTTTAGTATTAGCACAAATGCTTACCATTTCTGACATTCTTCATTTCTTTGTGTAGATCCAAGTTTCCATCTGGTATAATTTCCTTTTGCCTGAAGAATTTCCTTTAACAATTCTTTTATTACAGGTCTGCTGCTGATGAATTCTTTTGGTTTTTCTTTCAAAATATTTTATTTCATCTTACTGTTTCAAGAATATTTTCACTAGATAGGGAATTCTAGTCTTACACTTTGATCCCAAGCACTAGAAATAAGAAAGAAAGAAGGAGAAAAAGATAAATAAATAATACAGTGGAAATTTTGCTTAATTATCTTCTGGCTTGCATATTTTCTGATAGTAATTCTGAACTAATTCTGATCTTTGTTCCCTTCTACTTAGTCTTTCTTTTCCTTGATTTTAAACTCTTCTCTGTAAACTCTTCACTGGTTTTCAGCAATTTGACTTCAGTGAGCCTTGGGTGGAAATTCTGGTAGTGGGGTGTATGCATGTATGTGTGTTTATTCTCTTGGAGTTTGTGGAGATTATAGTTTTCATCACATTTGGAAAATGGTCATATGTCTTCACATGTTTTTACCCTCTCCTCTCTCCTAATGACATTTTAAATAGAAGATATTAAAACACTTACTCTTGTACTATAGGCTACTGGAATGACTTTTTATTTTCAGTGTTAAAAAACCCCTCTGTGCTTCAGTTTGGTTAGGATTGAGCTCACCAATCTTTATTTATCTGATGCCTAATCTGTTATTAATCCCATCTAGTGAAATTGTGCAAGTATATATTGTATAGGTACATATTATACATTTCCTCTCTAAAGTTCCATTTGGCTCTTTTGTTGTTATTGCAGTACTGGGGATAGAACTAGAAGTACATTATCACTGAGCTGCATCCCTGGCCTGTTTTATGTTTTATTTTGAGACAGGGTCTCACTAAGTTGCCCAGGCTGGCCTAGAAATTGGGATCCTCCTGCCTCAGGCTCCATAGTTGCTAGGATTGCAGGCATGTGCTACCACACAGGGGGCTCCATTTGGTTTATTCTTTTTTTAAATCTTACATCTCTCTCTTAATTATGTACTTGTCCTAAATGCTTTCTAGAATCATCACCTCTGCCATTTCTAGAGTTGCATCCATTGACTGATTTTTCCTAATTAGGGATCACATTCTCCTATCTCTTGGGATGTCTGGTAGTTTTAGACTGGGTGCTGGACATTGTGTTATTACATAGTGGACTGTCTTGATGTTGTCTGGCAGTTAAGTCACTTGTGGAGCAGTTTCCTATCTTTGAGGCCTGTTTTCAGGCTTTGTTTGCCACAGCGAGTCTGTGATATTTTCCCTCCAGGGTCAGTTCTGCCTTACCTCAAATGTGTGTCCCCTCTGAGGTCTCCATTGGATGGTTCGAGTATTCACCATTTATTCTCTTATTAGTCTGAGTTCAAAACTTATCTGCACCCTCAGTGACCTCTAGAAATTTTCAACTTCTAGCTCTGTCATCTCTCTTTGCTGACATTTATGGAAGGTCCCATGATGTATATGCAGGCTCTGACTCAGTGAAGGCTTACATGGAGCCCTATAGAGATTTCTAGAGCTCTTTGTCTGTTGAGCTCACTTTATTCCAGAATCCTATTTCACAGTGTCTAGCTGCCTCAGTCTCCCCAAATTCTGATTGCTTTCTTGGTTCACAAAGGCCTCCAGGCTCATTTTATTTTTATCTGTTTTTTTTCCATGTTGGTTTGGAAATTGCCTTCATGTGCAATGCCATTATAATCAGAGAATTATCTTAATTGTTTCTCTTCTCTTAGGGGTCAGAGTCCTGTGCTGCTTGTTGTCCAAAGTACAAGAGCAATTTCATATATCTGGTGTAGATTTTTGAAAGTAAGAGTCTAGTGGTAATTTTATTCTTTGATCATGGTTGGAGGTAGGAGTTTAAGTTTTTTAAGTCAACACAACTTCAGTTTTCTTGGCCAATAACAACAACAATAAAAATACATGATGGTGAAATACTTTGATGAGATATCATCATGCAATGTCTTTTATTCAGTCTTCCTGAATGGTTTCAAAAGACGGTTGGCTGGAGCTTGCATTCCAGGTGTGTCTATAAAATACTGTCTCTTCGTGTGATGCTTACTGTCATACATGAGCAGCTCTACTTCATGAGTTCTCAATAACTGAGTTTTATGCTTTAGATTCCAGATTCAAAGTGACAGCCCATCCTTAATTTAAAAACAAATCTGTAAGTGCTAATCTACACTAGATTTATTTTTCTCAGTCCTCATATCTCCCTTGGCTTATGAACCAGTGTCTCTTGGGAAGAGATGTCTCATGGTTCAATATTTGACAATTCTGGGTTGAGATATCTCAAGATGTCAACACAGCAGGTATTAGAAAAACTCAAATGGCATTCTGCACTGGAAATTCCATGGTCAAAAGACCAAGTGAGCTCTTGGTTATTGGATCCGTTATTGTCCAGAATTATCCAAAGTAAAGTAGGAGTGGTCTATTCACGTTGAAACTTCTTGCTAGAAGAAAACTAAATTATTCCTAGATTTGATTGACATGGAGAAAAGGTGAGAACCAAGACAATCTTCGGGACCCTACAGCCTCAAGTTATTTTGAATTTGCTTTTTCAAAAAGCAACTTTATAGATGAGGCAAGTGAGGCACAGAGAGATTAGTAATTTGCCCTACGTCCCATACCTAGTAAATAGCAAGGCCAATATTTTAATCCCTATCTGTTAGATTGCATAGTTTAAGCTCTTGATTTGAATTTGTTATGGTGAAACAGTACTACTCTCATAATTTAAAAAAAATTAAAAATTCAAATGGCCAATTAAAAAAAATTAAACCCTACTACATTCTAGAGACACAGAGAAGAAAATATATTTATTTTGTTTATCACGTGGAAGCATGAGGAATGATTTAGAACAAATATCTAATGAGTTAGGAAGCACTGTAACTGATACTAAGATTTGGCCTTTTATTGGTATGTTTAATGAGATTAAGTAATATGACTTTCTAATTCTGCTTGTGTCAAAACAGGTCAGATTTACAGATCATGTTTGGGCACCATGGAACCTTTAGGTTCTACTTTAACAGCAACTTATGCCTGCCCTCCACCAGCACCAACCAGCTTTCTACCAGCTATCAGTACCCTGGCATCGAGCTACAGGAACTACTTTCCCCATCGCAATTTTACCCACAGCTTGAGCCTTCCTTGGAGACCCAGCACATACTACAAAGTTGCCTCCAACTTTCCGACGTTGGGCCCATACTGCACCAGATCACAGAGGGTGTCAGAGAGCAGCATGCTTCCCTTTGTTTCCAACAGAACCACTCTCTTCACAAGATATACTCCTGATGATTGGTACAGGTCCAATTTAACCAACTTCCAAGAGTCTAATACATCCCGGCACAATTCAGAGAGACTCAGAGTAGACACATCTCGCCTCATTCAAGACAAGTATCAACAAACAAGAAAAACCCAGGCCGACACCAACCAAAATTTGGGAGAACGTGTCAATGACATAGGATTTTGGAAATCTGAAATCACTCATGAGTTGGATGAAATGATTGGGGAGACAAATGCACTTACTGATGTTAAGAAAAGATTGGAGAGGGCTTTGGCAGAGTCTGAAGCCCCCCTTCAGGTAACTATAGAGTTTACGATAAAAGGCATTGCATTTGGATTATTATAGTCCACTGATTGAATTTCTGAGGTTATTTATTTATTTTGTGTCAGATTATGCTTCATTTCACTTTTAGACACAATCCTCTACCAATGAATCTGTAACTGGTTTCAGTAATGGTAGAACCATTGCCAATTCAACACACTATGCAACCACCTTAAGTTCTCAATGCAAAGACTAATTAAGGAGACTTCATTAGAATGCACAATGTTTGAGGTGAAAATATCATCTTAATTCTTAAAAAGCCTTCTTGATCCCTGCTGTCCCTAGATAAAGATTAAAAATATTTAAGGAAAAGAATTTTAATTCTCTTAGTTTGTGTCATGAATTGCCTCCTGTATACATGTTGTGATTCTGTTTCAGGGGACAAATTGTCAAATGAGACCACTTTATGAAATAGAGGGAGCTTTTTAAAATAGAGACATGGGACTGAAGTTAGGACAACTACCATGGTCATAGAGGCAGTTTCCAGTTAGTTACTGGTCTCCTAGCTGGCTTTTGAGTGAGCTCAAATCATGTCCAACCCTTGCACCACATGATAGGTCCTCCAACCCCATGCCGCCCTCCACCATCGAAAGAGGACATTCCATATTTGTATGTGAGAAAATCATAGAAATTATTATGGAAGTTGTATATATTTTGATGAGCATAGCTAACATCTTCATGTTTGCATGAGATGTTTGTATTTCCTTGTGAAAAAGCATTTGCAGTGGGTCTTCAATATGGTACCTGTAGGTAGGAGAGTTTGGAGAGCAAGGAGCTGGAATGTCTAGTAGTTTAAGGAGTTTGTTGAGCATCCTACACACTGTTACTTCCTATCAAACCCCCTCCCGACTAACCACAAGCACACACAAACAAAACTCCCAGAATCCTGACGAAGGTTGGTAGACACAAACATTAGTAGTACACTAATGGTGATTTTTAAAAATCAATTCATTCTGAATTGAAGGCCTCCTATACTTCCTCTGAGTCCTAGCTCATATTGAAGATTATTGTTTATTCTACAGCCCTTACCCTACCTTCATGGATTGAAAGTATCCTTAAAACGATAGTTGGTTGTCCTCTTAATTTTCAGATGAGATTTAGTGATGACTTTTAGTAAGATGATTCTAATTTCAGTTTTTGTCTGGATGTTCTTGTGTGCTCGAACACTTACTGTCAAAACAGAATCAGAAGGTTCTTATTAAAATTAAAGTTAGTTGCAAGAACACAAATCTCAAAAGAAAATATAGATGATCAGCTATATAAGGAAAAATGCTAAATTTAATAAGACAACATTAAATCAATATGGTGACCATCTTTGGCCTATCAGATTTTTGGTAGTAAAAACTTATAACATCTATGATTGGCAAAGGAGAAGAAAAGAGGCACTTTATGCATTACTGGTGGGACCATGGGTTGGTAGAAATTTTTCTGGAAAACAATTTAGTAATATAACCTAAAATAATCAAGAGTTCTCCTGGACCATTAATTCTCCTTCTACTAAGTGTAAATTATATTAAATAATGAGAGATACATGCAAAGATATTGTTCAATTATATCTGAATTATAGAGTACATACTTTCATATTTTATGCTTTTAAAAAAATTAACATTATACAGTAATCTCATGTCATAAAATAGTTTTTTCAAAAAAGCATTTTAACAGCTACATAATGTTCTTTCATACATTATTTATCATTAGCAATCTAAGTTGTTTTTCCATTGGAGTCATTAACATACTCTGTCTCAAAGCATACTTTGTTACAGGGGTCTACTATTTAATGCCAATTATAAAGCATTACATAAAATTGTAAGGACATATTGGCTTCCATTTAAAGAAAAACAAATAAAACAGAAAAATATGGTCAAGTCTTATTTTCTACATTTTTCTCCTTAATAAAAGCATATTATTTTTGTATTAGGAAATAAAAAATTATACTTTAAAAGCAATCCCTTGAAGTTTTGGCTACATATATATTTGGTATCTTTTAAAAAATAATCATTAATTTCTTCCTTACTCTTTTCCTTAGAAAATATTTGGAAATAATATCTTTAAGTCCATGTTTCATGTTATAGAAGTATTTCTCTTGAATCAACTAATGCTAGCTAACTTTCGAAGATGCTATTGTGGAGATCGAATAGAGGTCATCTGCCTAATTTGTCAACTTTCCAAATTGGGAATGTTTTCAATATATGATTATTATTATTATTACTGGTACCAGGGATTGAACTCAGGGGCACTCAGCCCCTGGGCCACATTCCAGCCCTATTTTGTATTTTTAGAGACAGAGTCTCACTGAGTTGCTTAGTGCCTCACTTTTGCTGAGGCTGGCTTTGAACTTTTGATCCTCCTGCCTCAGCCTCCTGAGCCACTGGGATTATAAATGTGCATCTCTGCGCCCAGCTTTTCAAATTATTTTGAAGAGCTAATTCTTTAAACTAGCACAAAGATTTACTTAGTGTCACTGTCATTTTCATGCTAAAGTCTCACAAAATGGTTTCAAAAGTTGGTATTGGGAGTTTCTATTGATATTCATTAAACATTATTTTAGAACTGATAGACACTGGTTATGGTCAGTTTAAATTAACATATTCTATTATTTCTTGATCTGTAGGTTGCTCGAGAATGTCTCTTTCATCGAGAGAAGAGAATGGGAATTGATCTAGTTCATGACGAAGTTGAGAAACAACTGCTGACGGTAAATATGAGGGAAATGCTTCCATAACGAGAAGTTTAGTAATTAACTTGTTTTTATAATGTAGAAATAAAATGGTGTTACATAAAGTCATTATAAGAGCATACCAGATGTCTATAGCACTTCAAAAGGTAGATTTTTCATGTTTTAAAAGTAACACGTGTTAACTGGGGATTTGAAAATATAGAAAATAATAAAGATAAACATTGCTTGCAGCTTCACTGGACAGAAATTGGCATCAATTTTGGAGTGTTTCATTTTATTAAACATGCTTAGATACACCAACCAACTCACACAAGGGCGCACTGACATGTGTTAAAGATTAGGATCATGCTGTGTTTATGAATTTAAATAGTGTTTTATTTAGAGTTATATTGGGACAATTTTCTTTTATCATTAGATTTTGTTTGAATATATTATTTTTAATGTTACAGCATTCTACAATGTAAAGGTGCTTACCATTTTTTAAAAATGTTGATCCTCTCTTAGAGTAGTTAGGTTGTTTCCTTCTGCCACTCTTTTTCAATTTTAGTTACATACTGCAGTATGTAAAATTATTACTGTTGATAATTGTGTAACTGTACACACTTCTGTTACCTCTTTAGATTACATTTCAGGAAATGTAAAAGGGAATATGTATTTGGAAGAAAGAAAGCCTTTTTACATCAGCAAATTGCCACCCAGAAGCTGAGAGTTGTATCTGAATGATTCTGCTGAATTCTGTCTTCCACAGTCTCTCTTCCTCCTTCTACTCATTAATCTTGATTTAGTTCTGAGTTCTCTGATCTTGACTTTCTGGACTAGTCACCATGAGATCTCTGCCTTTAAGATTTCAGCCAATATACACTTGAGGCCTTTCCCATTCTCTTTCTCCTGCCCAGATATTTTCTTAAGCATGAGTTTTATATCCCTAGGTGTCTCAACATGTTTTATTTAACATGTATCAGTTGTAGTTATTGATGGGTTTCAGTGTGATATTTCCACCCAGGCATACAGCATTCACTGATCTAACCCAATCTCCCTTCATCCTCCTCTTGGCTCCCAATACCCTTCTCAGCCTACTATACCCTGTTGTCTACCCCTTTCTATTGATGGTGCCAGTGTCCTCAGTGTTTGGAGTGCAGCCATTGTCTCTTCAACCCCTTTAATAAGTGTTCAGTCCTTCTTTCCAGGTGGATCATGGGAAATTTCCAGACCCTTTCCCTTCCCCAAATTCTACTAGACAAGATATATTGTCGCCAATTTCTTCCTTCAGATAAAAACTATTCTGGGACACTCTAATTCCTATAGGAGAAAACCACCAAGGCCTTCCTTTGCTGGCTCCCATCTAACATCTCAGCTTTGTTTCCCTTTCTGAATCATGAAAGTTCTGCTATGAGTCTGTCTTCTTCATCCCTGAACTAGGTTTGCAGGGTTCCACCTCTTTGCCCTTGTTTGACTGATCCGTGGTAAGAATGAGTCCTTGATGATGATCTAACAATATGGTCATCCAAGTAATTACATCTTTATATTTTAACGGTGCCCTAGTCTTTTTTCATTGGCTCATTACATTAAGAATGATAAGCATGAGCTGGGTTATAACTTGGTGGTAGAGCACTTGCCTAGGATATGGAGGCCTGGGTTTGATCCTTAGCACCACCTACAAATAAATAAATAAAGGTATTTTTTAAAATGATAAGCAAAACTTTTTTCTTTGCTCTTTCCTTTCTTTCACTGTCTGATTCTCTGAGAGAAATATGAACTGAAAAAATAAATTCAGGAAATCTTTGGCCACTACAGGAAGTCTATGCACGTTACTTGTAAAAATCATGGTCCCCCCTGTTGCATGGGAGTAATTATGAATAGGAAATCCTGAATGAAATAGCTTTGCATTAATGGGTCCCTGATCTGTTGTTTCTTTTTTCCCAGCTTCTGATGAATCTTGCAATTCTTAAAATAATCTGTCATGTACTTTGTCATCCTAAATGGGAAGGAATTTGCCAGAATCTGTTCTTTGGCCTTTTGTTCTCACTGATCCTGAGATGTCCAATGGGAAGAAAACTATAAGCTACTTTTAACAACTACAGTTCAGCAGTTTGCTCATAAACAGACATACGGTGTTTTCAAGAGATGTTTTTTGAAACTTGGCTATCATTAGCATTTCTTTTATTCTAGGAGTGGTCCTCAAACATGCCTTTACATTAGAATCATGTGATGAAGATTTTAAAAATATCAGTGACTGGGACTTTTCCCCAGAGATTTTGATTCAGATCTGGAATGGGGGCTAAGCATGAATGGTTTTCAAATATTACCATGGAAATAGTTTTTAGCTTTTAACATTAAATTTATTTTTAACTTATACATAAAAACAAAACCTATACATTAATAGGTTAATGTGATGTTTCAATATATGTATACATTATGCACATATGTATTGATTCAGATTCAAATACATGTTTAAGTCAGATTAAACATTTCTGTCTCCTCAAACATTTACATTTACATTACATTGTTATCCATAATCACTTGCACATGATAGGTCTTTCAGTCCTGTTTATTCCTTCTCAACACTAGTGAGATGAGAAAACTTCAAATTCAATACTGGGAAGATTATTTAAATGCCACCTTAAGACATAAAATACAGGACTGTAAGTGGATCAAATGACTGGAAGCTACTGGGGTTATGATTGTAAGTTTATTTGAGTGAATACTTCTATTGTATGTTATAAATTTTGTAAACGAAGTGTCAATTGAATATAGAATATTGAACTTTTACATCATCTTGATAATCATTTTCCCCATTTAAAAGACTTTGCAGCTTTATACAGATAACACTAAGTGTAAAATTTTGAATAAAATATTTATTTTTTCCAAAAATAAATCAGAGGTAGTTTGTAATGGACTTTTACATTTTCTGGTAATAGTTTATACTCCACTTAACCAAGAGATCCATTAACTAAATGATTTTGTTATCAATATCAAATACCTATTCCAGTTGTATTACTTTCATAAAGCTATTCTTGTAATATCTCAATCTGACCCAGATGATAGTTGCCATGGAAATCTTAATGAATAGTCAGAATTAAGAACAAGTGCTTCAAAACCACAAAATATTGCTGAAAGAAATGGAAGATGATCTAAAAAAATGGACATAACATGTTCATGATTTGGAAGACTTGTTGGTGTTAAGAGAAAAATATTTCCCAAACTGATCCATAGAGTCAACACAATTTCTATCAAAGTCCCAGCTGACTTCCTAGTGGAAATGGAGAAGTAAATCCTAAAATTCATGTGGAAATCTAAGCAATGCCAAATAGTCAAATAATATTGAAAAAGAGGAAAGTTGGAGGATTCTCACTTCCCAATTTCAAAACTTTTTGCAGGGCTACAGTACTTAAGACAGTGTGGTATTTTGATAAAGATGGAGAGTACAATGGGACAGAATTTAAATGTTGAGAAATAAACTTTCATAGTTGTCATCAATTGGCTTTTGACGAGGGCGCCAAGACAACTCAGTGAGAAAAGAATGGTTTCCTCAGCAAATGGTGCTTTGGACAATTGGATTTCATGTGTGGTGAAAGAATGTAGTTGGATCCTTATATCACAACATATGAAAAATAAGTCAAATGGATCAAATATTTAAATGGAACAGCTAAATTGATGGAGCTCTTGGGGAAAAACTAGCACATGAATATGTGACATTGAAGAAGGTGCTGCCTCTTAGATATGACACTAAAGCACAAGCAACAAAATTAAAAAAGGGATAAACTAATCATCATCAAAATTAAAATTTTGGTACTTCAGAACATGCTCAACAAAGTAAAAACAAAATCTTTGCAGATCATATGTCTAGTAAGGGACATGCATCCCTTTAGAGAGAAAATTATGATCTTTAGAGAGAAAAATAGCCCAGTTAAAAAAATGGGCAAGGGATCTGAATACATAGTTTTCCAAGGAGAACATACAAAAGACCAACAAGCATATGTCAGAATGTTCAACATCATTAATTATTGGGAAATGTAAATCAACATCACAATGAAATGTAGCTTCATACCCACTAGTGTGGCTATAATAGCAACAAAAAAAAATACAGAAAATAACACATGAAACTGTGAAGGAATTAGAACCATTACACAGTGCTGGAAGGAATGTAAAATGAGGCAGTTGGCTTGGAAAATGATGGAATGCAGTTACTTTATGATCCAATAATTCTAATTTTAGGTATCTACCCAAAGAGAAAAGAAAATGTATACCCTCCCTCCAAAATATTTGTACCTGATTGTTTATTGCAATTATATTCGTGACAACCCCAAAGTGAAAAAAATCCAAATTTCTATCAGCTGATAAATGGATAAATAAAATATGGTATAGTCATACAAGGAATGTTATTGAGCCATGTGCTGACATACAGATGACTCTCGAAAGCAGAATGTTAAGTGAAAGAAGTTGGTCACAAAGAACCACATATCGTATAATTTCATTTATATGAAATTTCCACAAAAGGGAATTTTATAGAGTATGAAGTTAGATAAGTGGTTGCCCTCCTAGACTTGGGGGATAAAAAACGGGGGGTGACAACTAATGGGTGCCTGTTTCTTTTATGGGGAGGTAATGAAAATGTGCTGAATATGGTTATGGTGATGAGTTTAACAACTCTGCATATACTCAAAAAAACTGAATTATATACTTCAAATAGTTGAATTAGGGCATGTGAATTTTACCTCTATAAAGCTATCTAAAAAGAAGAAACTTTTAGATCTTTTTATCTTTAAGGGTCCATAGCAAAAGTTGCTTTATCTAAAACTTTGAATCTGCAATTAGAGTAATGGCTCATGAATTGAGGGGGTGCCCTGGTCACTGCCAATTAATTCAAGTAGTGAATGTGTCCTGTCACTTATTCAAGATAGTAGCATTGTCATATATTTATTATCATCATCATCATCATCATCATCATCATCATCATCATTTTATCAAATAGGTCTCAAGGTTTAGAATGAATAAATGAGCAAAGAAAAGAAAGGCCTACTTTTGAAAGACATGGGCATAGTGAAAAATTTTTTCATGGATTCTCTTGACTATTACATTCAATTTGTGAAACAGGTTGAGACTCCTTAATCCAAAAATCTAAAATCTGAAATGTTCCAGAATTCAAAACATTTTGACACTTCAAGAGGAAAATTCCACACCTCATGTAATAGTTCAGTCAAAACACATAAATATAACATGCAGTTGTATAAAATTACCTTCAAACCATGTGTATCTGAAATATAAATGGAACTCGTGTTAGTTTGTGTTTAGACTTGGGTCCCATCCCCAAGATATTTCATTATGCATATGCAAATATTCCCAATTCTGAAAAAAAAATCTGAAATCTCAAATAATATTCTCAATTCTGAAAAAAATCTGAAATCTCAAACACTTCTAATCCAAAGCATTTCTGATAAGAGATGCTCAAATTGGATTTAACAAATTCTTATACAAGGGCTTCTTTTGGGGAATCTACCATGGTCCCATCTTTATAGCATTCCCAGACCATGATATATCCTTCGACTCTGAAGATAAATGAACCCAGAGAATCATCTCCCATGCAACCCATCCTGGCCTTGCTCTGGGACATAGGCTAGGCCTGCTGCTTACAACTCAGGCTAAGGCACTGGGCTTGGCCCCAGCTGGCTGGCCAATTTCCTTCCCACAAGTGACTTTCCCTCGTTACTGATGTAGAAGCAGAAAGCAAAAACACTCCAACTGCAGAGGCTTATTGAGAATGTGCAAGCAATGCATACCAAAGATGGAGAGACATCCCAGCATTTCAGCCCAGCACAGCCCTGATCCCAGGATGGAAAGAAATTTGGGTGGGTTCTGACCACCAGTAATAAGAACTGCTTTCTTCATATATGTTTCCACCCAATGGTCCATATTTCTTAGCTGAGAGTAGAGCAGAGCTCCCTTCTAAAGTGAAGCTTAAGTTCTAACATCATGCAAATTGTTCTTCTTGCAACATCAAAAGACCTAACACTTTTTGAGCACTTACCATCTGCCAGGCACATCATTATCTACCCAACAGCCTTGGAAAAGGTATTATTACCTTTAGTTTATAACTTGTCTTTGGTCACAGTTTAGCAAATGGAAAAGCCAGCATTTGAACTAGCACTGTCTGATGCCAGCATGTCTTTAACCACTCTTCCACCCAAGACCTGGGAGTGTGAGGCAACAGAGGTGATGTTTAGCAAGACTTTGCAGTCTGTATTCTACCTCCCTCACCCTTGTCCAGAAAATTCAGTTGCCATAGGTGAATTGTAATGAGAGATGCTTCACAGAAATTTCAACTGCTCAAATGGTAGGATAAATGGAAGGTTCTTCAAACAACTGGACATGATTCCTTATTGCACTTTCATCCAGAGCTCTACAAAATAGGTCACATTTTAATCATTTTGGCCATTGAGATTCCGAGAATCTCAGAGAAGTAGCCAGGGGCATGTCATTCATGAAGTCCATTATTCCTCACCAAGTCAGGATCCAGAAGTGTTGGAACCACTTTGCAGCCTCGTAAATATGCATTTCTCAAATGTTGCGCCAGAACCTTCACTTCCCGAGGTGGAGGCTACAGACACAGGTCTACTGGATCCAGACTTCTCCCACACTTTTGCCTTCTGTGTGTACCCACTTTCTTCTGAATGTTTTCTTCTTGTAAGCTGGTAAGGGAATGCTTTGCCCTCCATTTACTTCTGCTATGGTATTTCAAGGTCACCTCTATGTATGAACATAGACTGATAAGTTAACATGGGGGACAGCTCCAGGGGTCCTTGGGGATAGCCTTTTTCTATTCTCATGATCACCCCCACCATTCTGACATTCACTATATGACATTATTTAAATGCACATGAAAAATTATTATTAAATTTTTTTAAAAAAATATCAAGAGTCTCATTAAATGCATTTTCCCCCACTAAAAGTCCAAGGAGAATTTCCTCTATGTGCTGTGTGAAAACTGTGGGGTTTTAAATGGTGTTGTCCAAGGAGGACTCCATGCATCCTTTACCAGTATCTCATTCATCACTACACACACACACACACACACACACACACACACACAAGTCATTGAGACAGATGAAATAGAGCAACACAAAAATTCAAGTTTATGTAACAACCAACACACTGTGTAAGAAAACTTGGCCACCTGTAAGAGTAGTGAGAACTTTGGTGCCAACGTATGATGATGGGAATTTAATTCCTCATTTGCTCCATTAATTCAGAGTATTGAGGAATCAAACAGTAGGCTGGTCTCTGTAGGTGCACCCAATATTTTTTATGTTAAATAATAAAAAAGGCAACTATATAGGTGTTTAATAATTAGTGCTAGAGTGAAGAAAGTTTTTATAATAAAAAATAACTATTTTGGGGCTGAAGATATAACTCAGTTGGTAGAGTGCTTGCCTCACATGCACAAGGCCCTGGGTTCGATCCCCAGCACCACACACACACACACACACACACACACACAAACTGTTTTAATCAGCTTTTCATCTCTGTGACAAAAAGACCCAATGAGGACAACTTAGAGGAGGAAAAGTTTATTTGGGGTCACAGTTTCAGAGGTTCAGGCTGGCTGATTCTATGGCTTTGGGCTCTGAGATGAGGCAACACATCATGGCAGAAGGGTGTGACAGAGAAAAACAGCTCAGGACACAATAATCAGGAAGCAGAAAGAGAGGGGGGAAGGGGCCACAGGGAAGATGAACCCTTCCAGGGCACACTCCCAGTGACCTACCTCCTCCAGCCATGCCCCACCTGCCTACAGTTACCAGCCAGTGAGTCCATTTAAACCTGATTAGGTCCCAGCCCTCATAATTTAATCATTTTATCTCTGAATATTTCTGCACTAACAGAAGCTTTCAGGGGAAACCTAAAGTTCAAACCATAACAACAGCAAAGGCAGAAACCAAGAAGGTTTTTTTTATATTTGACAGATATTTGCTAGATTTCAACAACTATATAAAAATACCATGCACACAAAATATAAAGGCAAGGGCCAAAATGGTGAAAAATATATTTATTATATACACGATGAGAAAGGACTGAATTTTAAACATCTTAAAAATCCTTACAAATTAATTTTTAAAAACACACAACAGAAAAAGTGGACAAGCCCATGAATAGAAAGAAAGTCAAATGAGAAACAACTACATACTATATTAGTCTGCAAATTCAGACAAGTGGGCTGTTTATTTGAGGGAGCTCCCATCACATTAGCAAAGATTTAGAGGAGCAATAATGGCTACTTGGGAAGGGACAAAGGCAATAGAGACATTCATTGTTGTAGACACATACATTCTTAGAAGAGCACTTTAGCTATACTTGTCAAAACCTTGGAGAAAATCATACCCTTTGGCAGCATCTAAACATTTATTAAGGTTGTCCACAACTGTATTGTCTAATGTCATGGGAAAATGCTCAAGTTTAAAGTGCCACAAAACAGCATACGTAGGATGGTCACTTTTGATGAAAAAAGTGATAAGGATGATTATGTGATTATGTATATTTTTTAAAAATGTCTTCTTGGTGCTGTTCAGAGTTCATGAATTTTCTATGGTGAATATTAATTTCAGAGAGCAATCAATGTTTATCTTAAAAATCTCTGATATAGCACATGCTTGTGGAATACAGCATACATCCTCTATGAAATAGAGCATACATCAAAATGCTACATGTCTGGTCAAGTGGAAAGGTATGGCTGACATGGTCTTGGCACAAACAGCATCACAATATATTGACCTCCAGTTTGGACCAAAGAGTTGGGTCTGCTGAGGATTATAAGTACTGCCAAGGACAAGCTCCTGTTGATTTCCCCTTTTCCATCCTTGATTTACTTTGATTTTATAGACTAGCTGTTATAGAAGAAAACACGTACACTTAAGTTCAAACTTGCTTATTACAAGGGTTTCTATTTTTTTCTAATATTTTAGTTAAGGACAAACATAAGAAAGGGAGCAACCCCCTAAATATTAATCATATCCCAACTTGGTCCATAATATAATTTTCCTAAAGCCCTATAAGGAATGAGTCTCAATCTCCTATTTAGAAGTCAATATCATGGGGACATATAGGTAAATAAGTAGATATAAAATTGCTTTCTTGCTTAACAATTTTCAAGAAACAAAAGTTTTTCTTATTGCTGACTTTGTTATGCTCAATAATGAAAACATTAATGTATTTTTGTTTGTTTTTTAATTGAGTAGGAAGTTGATGTTATTCTATGCTGTCAAGAAAGAATGAAGCTACATTTGGATAAGGCTATTGCCCAACTTGCGTAAGAGCTTTACCTCTTTATATGAATTAAATGTTACCATTGATCTATTTTGTCATGCCTCCTATTCATATTTCTCTTAGCTTCTTAAAAGAGTACACACACGTGCACACACACATATTTTTATTCAAAGGTTAAGATGAGAGCTTGGAATATTTGCTTTAATTTTTTTTAAAAGCAATAATTCTGAGAGTCTATGGAAAGGATTTCTGCTCTCACTTGTAATATGTCTAAGATTTTTCAATTCAAAAACCTTAAATCTCGATAAGAGATTGACTTGTGTGTGCTCAGCCCTACCAGTTATAAATTAATGATGTGTGGCTTGCTTATGTTTATTTTTCACCCTTCCTTCAAGACCCACCTTGCCTGATTACATCCTCACAGCCTTCACTGCATCCTCATTGCAATTTAATTGTTTATTTATCTTTGTAATTTTTTTTCTCACTGAATGCCAATCTCAGGAGATTGTCTTGGCTCTATCTTTTAAATACATGCGAATACAATCACTTCTTGCTTCCTTTACTGCTGTCCCCTGATCTAAGACACCACCATCTCTCACCCAAGTCACTAGAGTGGTCTCCCAATGGGTCTCCTTGGGAGTCTATAGGCAGGCAGCCTATTCTTAGCCTAGCACCGGAATGATCCTTTTAAAATGCTTGTTGGTAGTCTCCATTTTTATTCAGGGGGGAAGCCTGACCATTTCCAATGTACAACACAGCACTGAATGATCTGATTCTCACTTTTACAAGACTTAATGTCACATGGGGAGACATTCTCTTGGTTATCCTGTTTATGATCATAACTCACCCTCCTAGACCCCTTGATCCTACTTTGCTTTTTGCAGTTCTTCTAATGACATAAACTCCTTTCATGATGTGTATCCCTCTGTTTCCTCCTAGTAGAGCATAGCTCCTTAGAGGAGAGATGTCTTTCATCCATGGATACATCCCAGGCTTGCAGATGCATAGTGCCTGGCATGTAGTAGGCGCTGAATGATTATTTGCTGAGTAAACTATTATTCCAAGAACAAATATGTAGCTCACCTATCAGTTATGTCCACCCCTAACCCTTGGCCTGTCTTTTCAGGAGTGAGCTGTGGGTCTGCCTCTATCTGGCAGGGAAAGCCAGATCAGAGCTCACCTGGGTCTCTTTCTAGAAGTGGGACTGCCGGAGTATAATGCTAGAGAGGGCACCAATTCCTGATCTGTTGTTAATTTTTTTAATCTTTTTATTATACTACTGGGGATTGAACCCAGGGCCTCACACATGCTAGGCAAGCATGCTACCTCTGAGCTACATCCCTAGCCCCTCCTAATCTCTTTTAAAGAACTCTTTAGCTCCTTCCCTGGAGGTCAATTTTGACACATGGTTTATATCTCCTGGCTAACTTCTTAGCCATAGCGTGAACACAAACTGAGGTCGTGGATGGACAGAGGGAGGCTTGGCTATAAAGACCTCATAATTTCTTGGGCAATAGTCTATACTCAAAAATAGAGGAGATGATGGTCAGGATATAGCAGAGGAAGAAGGAGGAGGAAAAGTAGGCACAGAGATGAACAGATAACTTTAAACCAGTGAGCTGTCAGGAACTGTTGTGTTAAGAAGATGCCTGGCTCCTGTTTATCTACACCTCTCCCCAGTTCCACTCCACCCCATGGCAGGATGGTGTTCCCATGACTCACATGTAAGGCTATCCCCAAAGAATGCTTCTTTTGATTGGAAAGTGGAGTGTGTGCGAAGGAGAGATGAGGAGAGTGAGAATGAGAGCCTGGCCATAGGAAGCCTCCCCTTTTTTGTGGGATGGATGCTAAGGTTCATTTACCCATTTCATGTTCCAGAGCTAATAGAGCTGCCCAGCACGAGCTAGAGAAGGACCTAAGCGATAAACAAGCAGCTCAACGGATTGATGATAAATGTCACCACCTGCGCAACACTTCAGAGGGCGTCAGCTTCTTCCGTGGAGTGGAGAAGGTGGATGCGACGTAAGTCAGGCACATGCTATTTCTGTGACATTTTTTTTTTTAAACGCAGGGCCACTGTACCGTGGAGCTATCCCCACCCCCATCCCTTTTTATTTTATTTTATTTTTTTATATTGAGACAGGGTCTTGCTAAATTGCCCAGGCTAACCTTGAACTTGAGATCCTCCTGCTTCAGCCTCCTGAGTAGCTGGGATTACAGGTGTGCATGACAACACCCAGCCACTTCTGTGATTTTTTTCATGTCGTTCATTCATTTATCCATTCCTTCCTTCCTTCTTTTTTTTTTCAAAATAAGGCAGTTTAAGGTTGTCTTAGTCAAACTTCCCTTGTTATAACAGAATACCTGAGGTTGGATGATTTATTAAGAACAGAGGTTTATTTGGCTCACTGTTCTGGATACTGGGAAGTCTGAAGGCATGATGACAACTTCTGCCATGGGCTTTTGTACTGAAAAGGAAAGGGCAAGCAAGCACACGTAAAAGACAAAGCTTGAGGGGCAAGTTCACTAACCCCCACACCTGCTGCAGTGTCCTGGGGATGGAACCCAGGGACTCATGCAGGCTGGGAATTGCTCTGCCACTGAGATATACCCCTACCCTTTTTAATTTTATTTTGCGCAAGGTGTCCCTTAGTTGCCCAGGCTTACCTCCAACTTGTGATCCTTTGCCTCAGCCTCCTGAATGGCTGGGATTACAGGCATGTACCACTGCACTTGGCTCACACATTTTTATAATAACCTTCTTGAAGGAAAACTAACCAACTCCCATGAGAAGTGACCCATTTTCTCAGGAAAGACATTAATACTTCTTAATGACCTAATCACTCCTTAAAGGCTTCCCCTCCCGACACTGCCATGATGGCAATCAAAGTTCTAACATGAGTTTTGGAGAGGACACACCGTATTCAGACCGTAGCACAGGTTAAAATGGGAAGTGCATGGTCAGATGTCTGGAGGTGAGGGACACACCCAGCTTTGGTTGAGTGAGCATTCAACAAGCACATCCTGCAGCCAGGCCTTGACAATTACATCATCCTGTATCCTTTTGAAAAAGAATATTTGTTTTTTATTGTTTGAACTATGGAAACTACACCTACCTGCTACAGAAAACCTCAAGATACACAGATGAGCACAAAGAAAATCACATGTTGTTAATTCTTGGATATCCTGGACTCTGTGATAGCCTGAAAAAAGCCAAATCCTTTCTTACTACTGCTCGTTAAACTTATCCTGTTAATGATTTGTTTGTCAGGCTCCTGGATGCAATCTTGAGCAGAGTTCATGGATTTGGCCAGCCACTAACTTTAAAGATAATCCAATTGATTGAGGTGAAAATTTACATATAGTAAAATTCATCTAGTCTAAATGTAGATTTCAATGGGTTTTGACAGATTTGAACGCCTATGTAACAAAAACCACTCTGGAGCTATTATCTTTTTAATTTTTTTTTCTTTTTTTGTCATTGTAGATGGACAGCATGCTTTTATTTTATTTATTTTTATGTGATGCTGAGGATGGAACCCAGTGCCTCACATGTGCTAGGCAAAGCGCTCTGTCAGTGAGCTACAGCCCCAGTCCCCCCAAGTTTTCCCATTTTCCTTCCCATACTTATGTCCCCTCCCACTTCTAAAGTGACCCCTAAGTGGATTCTCTCCTCTGGAATGCTTTACCCTCCATATCCTGCCCCCTATCCTTTGGCTCACCTGTCCCAGCCACAGTGCCAGTTACCAACTTGAACTTTTAAATTCTTCAGGTATGAGTAAAAAGCAGACCTTCTTCATTAATTTTTTTTCTGCCTCTGAATTGGCAGAAGAGTTAGTTTATGCTTTGGATTTATAGAAAATGGGTTAGGAATAAAATAAGGAGCAATTAAGAAAAGTTTAAATAAGCTTTGGGACCGGTGACTTGGGGATTTCTCTTTCACAGTCTAGGTGGTGGCCTGCAGATTCACTAGGCTGATTCATTATTGTCACTACTATCTGGATGTCCTTCCCTTTTTTTTAGGGTCTCGGTGCCTGAGTCCTGGGCCAAATTTACAGATGACAATATTCTCCGCTCTCAGTGTGAACGGGCAGCTTCTGCCAAGCTAAGAAATGAGATCGAAAACCTTCTGGTTGTGACTGCCAACGAGATGTGGAATCAATTCAACAGAGTGAACTTGGCTTTCACCAATCGCATTGCTGAGACTGCAGATGCTAAGAATAAGATCCAGGTTCATTTATCCAAGGTAAGTCAACCACATGTGGTACCCCTTACCTGACCTGGACAAGGCAGGGTGCTCTGGGACCACAAATCTCTCACCACTCCCAGAAAGAAACCATAGAAACTGGCCATGTAGAGTAGGAAAAATTAAAAACACTACAAAGCATACCATTTATTTCAGCCAGGTAGCCAGGTGTCAAAATGAAATTGGAACCCACTGGTGTTTGGAAAACAAAGAGTGCACTATGTAGGGAAAAGGGTTTTTCGTATTTAATGAAAACAAAAATATTATTATTAAAGTTTAATGACTCACTTTATATAACTAGAAAGTGAATTTATTACTATAACATATGGTAGGAGTGTTTTCTGTTCAATGATTTCAGACCCTTTTTCTGTACTCTAGAACCAAATACAGGAAACTATTAGGTAGTTCAAAGTATTCCTGATGTTGTAAATGTTTAAGCACTCTAAATGTAAGGGTTTTTACAATGACAGTAAAAGAAAGTCATTTGGTTCGAGATGAACAAATAGCTCTTTCTTTATTTAGCATCATTCTTGTAACTCTTCAGCATTTCTGTGGACCATGCTGCATGTCCTTGGTCATTTCTTAAGAGCCTGACTCTCCTACTTTGTTGCTCTAGGGTGGTAATGCCCAGATGAAGGTGGTTTTCCAAGGCTACAGCAATTCACAGTTCCTTCTCACGCTGTCTTATTTATGCAACAAATACTAGTTGAGCCAGACAAGTTGCTCTATTGTGAAGGGCAGAGAAACTCAGAATGTTGTCGTTTTTATTCCCAAGAAGCTTGTATTTGGGGAGAAGAGATGCGTGCATATGAAAAACAATGATTCATAACAATAGGAAATTACAAATTGTGATCACCAAATAACAAATGTGGAAAGTGTTTTGGGGGTGTGGAGGGAGACATTTCTCCCCACATTCCAAGTGGGGCAGCATCCTGAATAAAGTCTTCGAGCTAGCAAATCAGAGGTTAAGTTCAGGTCTACGAAAAGGCCATTGTGGCTGAACTGGACAGAGTGTGTTGTAGGAGAAAAACTTGGAAAAGTAGGTTGCAGTCAGATTATAGAAGACATTATTGGGAAGGTGAATAGGGTCAGGATGCATTTTTAAAAGTCTTTTGGACAGCTGATGTGATAGAGTTGCTTTTTTAACCAAAGTGTTATTCACTACTATTTGAGTTTGTTAGGGCAACTGTAACAAAGTATCACAGACTTGAGTAGCTTAAACAACAATAAAAATTAATTTTTTCACAGTCCTGGAGGTTGGAAGTTTGATCTTAAGGAGTCTAATGTTTAGTTTCTTATGAGGCCTCTCTCTTTGCTCTAGGGTGACATCTTCTCCCTGTGTCCTTGCATTATCTTCTCTGGGTATTTATCTGTATCCACATTTCATCTTCTCTGGGTGTATATCTGTATCCACATTTCCTCTGCTTATAATGATACCTGTCATACTGGATTAGGACCCACTCTAATACTTCTGCAGAGACTTAATGCCTCTGTAAAGACTCCACATATGACCACATTCTGAGGTACTAAGGGTTAGGACTTCAACATACGATTTTTTTAGGAAGGCATGCACAATTCATCCCATAAATACATTCAATATAGTATAACAGGCACGTTGGGGATATATTCATCTGAATGTCACATTGATTTGCAATCCTATATCTTAGAGTGGGATAAGACATGTACATAGAAATGGTCGGTCCACTGGGGAGAGTTCAGAAAGAACCACTTGTAACTATAGACAAAATATTGAGATTGTTTAATAAAAGGAGTGGTTATTTCCATTGGTGAGAAACAGGCACGTCCTTATGGAGTAGGTGACATCTGAAGAAGGCTTTGGTGAAGAGAAGAGTGTAAAATGATTGTTAATGGGTTGCTGAAAGCTTGGGAGAGAAGCAGTCCAGGCTATGTGACAGACTTAGGAACTCCCAATGCTAAAAAACGTGCATGACTGGGTAGCTCTCTATGGGGGGAGAAAGGATGTAGTGTTGGAATTGCCCAGATAAAACTTGTTCTGGGAGTAAATGAGGAGTAGGTAGAGAGCACAGCAGGTGGCCAAAGAAAAGAGACAGGTTTTGAGGACAGGGAGATAGCCAAGGCCTCACCTTTGACTTGACAGGCAGTTTCATGAGAGCAAGGAGGGCCACGGACAGAATACAGGGGCCACCGGGAGATTAGATGGGTAGGAAGTGGAGAGAGTGGTCACAGGCCATGACTGAATATGTTTGTCACTGAACATAAGCAGAGAGATGGGAGAGGAGCCTGTTGGGGTTGAGTGTGAGAGGGGTAAATACATGAGAATTTCTTTTTTTTTAATTTGGTGACACTTGGGCATGTCTGTACATAACAGGGAAGGAGCCAAGGGGAAGGAATAAGCCAAGATAGTGGGGAAGCTGTGGAACTCTCAGAGCGCAAAGATCAAGGTGCTGGGAAAAGCAGAGAGGAGGAGAAGGAACCAGGAGAGAATCTAACTTTTTGCAATTTGGGGAACCTCTGTAAGACACAGAGATTAAAATCAGGAGTGAAAAACTGCTGGCGCTCTTCCCTTGCAAGTGAGTTACTGGAAAGCTGAAACCCAATGAGCTTCAAGGAAAACTTTTAATAGTAGGAAAACAACTCTCTTAAGTTGATAGGAAGACAGAGAGACAAGGACATCTTGATATGAGGAGCAAGGTAAGGGCCTTTCAAATTTTATGGGCCCACTTTCCTTTCTTTACATGCAGATGTGCACTGGTAAATAATTAATAAGGGGTGATATCCAGAATGGGGTGCACAGTGAGAAGCCCTGATCTGTAGCAGCTGCTAGTTTTCTACCCTGGTCCATTTCAGTGTGAGGTCACTGAATCTAGACTTGGGAAGAGAAGCACACAGTGAGCTCTCTAGAGCCCATCCAAGCAAGATCTAGCACCTCACTGAAGATTCTCCGGGGGAAGGGGTAGGAAGAAACGTGGTTCTCAGTGAATTAGCTTCCTTCTCCTCCCAGGAGTGAGGCAGGTGGCCAGGCAAGAGGCCAGAAGCAGGTTGCCAAGAGATTCATTCACACAGAGCTTTAGGCAATTGCTTCTCTTTATCACAGACACTACAGGAGATTTTCCAGACGGAGGGGACCATAGAATCCATCAAGAAGGCCATCAAGGAGAAGTCTGCCTTCCTGAAGGTGGCCCAGACCAGACTGGACGAGCGGACGAGGAGACCCAATATAGAGCTCTGTCGGGACATCGCTCAATTACGGTAAGGTGGAGTGTGCACACCTGGGTGGGAGGGGAAGGCACCAGGCTTACCCCAGTACAACCCATCAGCTTTCTATAGAGGCAGTTTCTGACAACACACATCATGTAGGTGCCTCTTTAAAAGTGTTAATAGTGGTGAATTGTGGAATGGACAGGTAAGTTACCGTTTGGGATGATGAAGATGCTTTGGAGATGGATGGTGGTGATGGTTGCACAGCAGTGTGAATATACTTACATCACTAAACTGGACACTTTGCCATGGTTAAAGTGATAGATTTTATGTTATGTGTATTTTGCCATACTTTTTTTTAAAAAAAAGGAAATAATATCAAAACTTCACACACACACACACACACACACACACAAACGTGTTGATAAACATTTAACTCATTCAGGGAGTTCAAGGTGATGTGTGGGTTTCTGAGAACTACCCTGGAGTCTTTGGAGTTTCCAGAACACCTTATCTTACTTATAGGAAGCAGAGGGTATTGGCTTTCTGTATATTTCTCAGTGTGGGGGATTCTTGTGAAAAAAGATACTTTTGGTACCGATTCTTCTGACCGGTCCACCCTCATTTGCTGTCTGTGGTCTCTTTGGGGGCATTAATATCTGTTCTTGCCATTAAGATCATTCTTAGGATCCTCTGATTTTCCTGAAGTTTGCATTTGGGCTTCCTTTAGTATTTTCTGTTGTCAGTAGAAATAAAAACAGCTGGTCTTCATCAAGCTCAGCTCTGACATACACATGGCAGGAAAACTCTGACTCCACAGTCTATCTATTAGACACTGCATGAATCTTATTATTATTTAAACTGTAAAGGCCCTTTTTAGCATGTACTTATAAGAAACTGGCCAAGATTCCCCTCATCTCAGCCTCATTCTGGAATCCTTTCCTATTTCTCAATACCTGTCAGCCTGCCTTTTCTTTCTGGAGTCCATCATTTCTGTCCTTAGGTCATGAAGCACTCCCTACAGATGTGAGTCAAATGGATAGTTAATGGAGGAACAAAAGGGCTGTGCTTGGACTCTAGAAGCCTTTCCGATGCCACTTGCCAGGTCTCCTACCTGGTCTCCTGGCAGAAGTCCCTTATCATCAAGAAGGATTTCTCCTAAAGATAGGCCTGTTATGGGCACTGCTGAAGAGAACAGCCATGGTTGGAGGCAGTGATCTCCTGGAGGGGGAGAAGATGGGACCTTTGTGAGTGAGGTCAACAGTGGTGACTATGATGACCATCATAATAATTACGATACTGATGATGACAATGAAAGCAATGATAATAATAGCTGCTCCTATATTTTTTCTACTCTGTGTTGATCTGGGTTGATACTGGGTAGTATCTTCATTTTGCAAATGAGAAAACTACAGCAGGAGAAAATTGAATGCCTTGGCCCAGGTCACATCTGGTGGTAGGGGAGAGCCAAGGTTTAAATCCCAGCCTGTCTTATGACAGACAATGATATTTTAGTCATGGGGAGTTGGGAGGTAATGAGATACCCCAAAAAGCAACTCTATTCAACTAAATGATTCGCTTCTGCTTCCCCAACTTCTATAGTATATAATGCTTTATCCGTCCTCGGCCATGTACTTGATCTCATTTGACCTTCTTAACGCCCATAGTAGATGATGTGACAAAGTAGGTGAAACATCCTTATCTCCTTTTCTCACAGAGGATGAAACTGAGGGTCACAGAGGAGATCAGTATTGTTTAGCACTCTCCATGTGTAGCACCCTCATGGAAAATCAACACGTGTTGTCAAGAAACATGCGTCAGAATACGCAGAAAGTTTCTTAAGAGATTTTTACTTTATGATAGCCTGAAAGGGTACCCATTCTGCCATTCTGTTTTCCACTTCTGGTGCAGCATTTAATTACTTACAGGAGATAGTCAAGACTCGATGACAAAATCACTTTGTGTGGGATGATTTTGCCCAACTCTAGGCTACTGCGAGTGCACTGAGCATGTTTAGGGTAGGCAAGGCTGGGCTGAGGTAATCAGTAGGATAGGTGTATTAAATTCACTTTTCAACTTATGATATTTTTAGTTTTTCATGGATTTATCAAAACATAACCCCATCATAAGTCAAGGAGCCTCTGTACACAGACTTCATTCCCTAGATTAGCTTCACATAGGTGCTTACCCAGGCTGCATGGTTCTCAAAACGGGTTCCATAGAACCCCTCTTCCTACAGAGCACATTATTTGGGATAAAGTGCCCTTCACCCCAGAGGCTAGAAATGACTCTGCACAGCCAGCCTGGAATGTCTCCCTGCTTCAAAACATACCCACTTGGCCAGTTAAGCTTAGGTCACAAATCATGATTTTTGGCAAATATTGTTAGGAGAAGCTGAGTTGATGTTTTATCCTCCAAAAATTTCTGCAGAATCATCAAGTAGGGTTAGGAATAAATTATTCAGCCAGCAATTGGACAAACTAAGAATTGCTTTTTCCTTTGACCTGCTAAAGATGGAACCCAGGGCCTCACACATGCTAAGCAAGCTCTCTACCACTGAGATATATCCCCAGTCTATAAAAGGTTTTGAGCAGCAGTTTAGGATGACTTTGGATTGACAAACATTAGAACATCCACAGATTCCTCTGAGAGGCTGAATGATTTTTACTCTCTTTCCCCCCTTTCCCAGCTAAATGGAATTTGCTTTTTCTTTTGCTTTGTTAACTTCCTAGTCTATCTATTCCTTCTGTTCCTTTATTGATTTTAGGACAACACCTCCTTTTGCTTCTCTCAAAATTTCCCCGGATGAATATCCTTGCCAAAAATATTTAGGATTACTATTAGGGGAGAGGATCATTTTCCTTCTTAACCTGATCATTCTGAAAGCACCATTTAGCTCTCTAGATTAAGAAAAAGCAAAGATCAGTGGAGTGCCGATGGAGAAAAATTGCTGTTTTCATTTCAAGACTTGTATTTTCACTGAAAATATTACAAATGGCTCTTTCAAAAGTGATTCTAAACCTTCTTGTCATCTTTGGTGGTAAACGAACCAGGCTCTACTTTACTTAAATAATCTTGACATTAAAAACAAAATAAAACAAAACAAAGAAACATAGTAGTTTTACTTGCATTTCAATGCAAAGTGGTTTTCACATCTGTAATTCCAAAAATAAATAAATACATAAATAATAAAATTGAGTGCCTTCCTAGACTAGTTTTCTACAATCCACCAAGAATAAGAAAACTGGTTGTTAGTGAAATGTAGCCTTGATGATGGTGAAAAGATGTGTTTCTGATGGTTCAAGTTGACAGGGAGCATGGTGGTAGCCCCTAGCTGTGCTCACAACAGTGGGGAGACAAAGACTTTTACTGCCTGTGTTCTGTGGATCTTAAATTCTTTTCTTTTCAACATGATATTTTAATGTATACATTTTCAAACAATCCCTCAGATACATTTTCCACTGGACTAGTATTTGGCCGTGAGGAGTAAAGCATCATTTATCACCCCGCTCTGTTTCCTAAGTTTGGGTTCAGGGTTCCTTTTGAAGTCATCGAGGGGTGGGAGACGAGAGGCAGGCCCCATGGTTTGATAAACAAACCACCATCATAAATCCCATTCCCCAGCCATCCGCAGCAGACTCTCCAAAGCTCTTTTTCTTTGCTAGAGATATTTTATACCTTGGGATCTTTGGTAAAAAAAAAAAAAAAAAGGCTTTCATTTTAATTTAACTTGCTCTAAACAGCAACAACAAAAATATGCGGGCTGGGGATGTGGCTCAAGCGGTAGCGCGCTCACCTGGCATGCGTGCGGCCCGGGTTCGATCCTCAGCACCACATACAAACAAAGATGTTGTGTCCGCCGAGAACTAAAATAAATAAATAAATAAATATTTTTTTTTAAAAAAAATATGCTTTCAGCTGAGTTCTCAGATCTTGTGTTCATCCCCAGACCCAATGAAACTTGGGCACTTAGTTTTAGTTTCTTGCCTTCTCCACTGGGATGGAGAAAACAGTACAGTTTGTCAGATGAAAGGAGATCATGGGGTGGATATTTCCACTGCCTGCTTTTCTTTTTTTTTTTTTTCCTTATGGGAGCTGACATGGGGCCTTTTACAAGTGCCCTTACCCTCTGAGGCTAGATGCAGTTACCTCAGTAATGGACATCTCCAGATTCTTCCTACCTTTGCTTCTTCCATTTGGCCTTCTTTCCCATTGGCTCTTGTCTTCCCTTGTTCAATTTTATGGACTTGGAGCTTTGGGGAGCTCCCTACCTTTCAAGCCTACCTCCTTCACCCAAGACATGGAAGTTGGCCCTTCACTCAATTGTACTTTTTGCAAACCTATGAGCTCCAACCTAAACAACAGCTATGATGGTTTGGTGTATCTCCTTGAAAACATTCACAATTTGTCCTTTGGGAAAAGAGAAGCAAAAGGATTTTTTTTTTAAATACAAGAATTCTTGCTCTGATTAGCATCTTAATATTCTTTGAGACAAGCCCACTTTGTGCCAGATAACAAACTGTCCTTTGGGCAGAGTTGCCAGATTTTGCAAATTAAAACACAGGACAGCAAGTTAAATCTGAATTTTGGATAATCAAAGAATATTTTTGCATAAAAGTACCCCAATTATTGCATGCAATATTTATATTAAAACCACTTAAGGCTAAGTGGAAATGCTTGTACTAAATTTTTTCATCAATAAAAAAAGAAGTGACTGACATGTGGTACAACTAGAATAAACCTTGAGGATGTTCTGCTCGGTGTAGTAAACCAGTCACAAAGGGATAAATACTTTATACTTCCACTTACATGAGGTGCCATGTGTAGTTAAATGCATGGAGACCAAAAGTAGAATGGTGGTTACCAGGGCCTTGGGGAAGAAGGAAGGGGAATTGAGTTTCATTTTTGCTAGATAAAAGGAGTTTTTTGGTGGATAATGGTGATGGTAACACAAAAATATGAATGTATTTAGTGCATTGAACTGTAGACTCTTAAATGGTTAACGTAGTAAATTTTATGTTATGTATATTTTACCACAATTGAAAAATATACTTGCACCAAAAAAATTACTCATTTGTCTGAAATTCAAGTTCAATTGGGCATCCTGTGAGAATTACTAATAGAAAGGAATGATGAGAGGAGTCATCCTCCAAGGAGTCCAATGCCCACAGATGACAACTTCCTGGTTCTCTGCTTCTTCTCTTTAATTGCAAGGAGCTGAGAGGGTGGGGGGGGGCAGGAAATGGTACCCGGTCCTTAGTATAGCCACTGAGGCTCCACGTTTCCTTCTCAGCTTCCTGAATAACCTGGCCTGGTTTATAAACACATGTGGGCTGTATATTTGAGGAGAGGGCAGTTCATCAATCCTCCAGGCTCAATTTCCTCATCTGTAAAACAAAGAAGCTGGCTTCGACCATCTCTGAACATTCCTATTGCAGTTGCAAATCTCTGTGAAGCCACACAGTTGCTTTGGTATAAAGATTTTCACGTGTTCTGGATGTTTTTCTGACATCACAAAATCTTTTTCTATTTCTAGGGACATCGTCATCCCTATTTGTTCATAGTCATTGTCCTTTTTGTATTTTTAACTTCATGTCAATCTGCAAATAAATGAGCTCTCAAAATAAAGACAATTGTAGGTTTGCATCACTGGTTAAAATGTGATGTACAGCCATCTCTCCATATCCATGGGAGATGGATTCCAGAACTCCCCCTCAGTTACCAAAATCCATAGATGGTCAAGTCCCTTATATAAAATGATGCAGTATTTATTTATGACCTAAGCCTATCTTCCTGTATATTGTCATTCATCTTTAGATTATTTATAAATACCTAGTATGGTGTAAATAGTTGTTATCCTGTATTGCTTAGAGAATCATGACAAGGGAAAAAATCTGTTCGTGTTCAATACACATGCAATTTTTTCCTCTGAATATTTTTGATCTGGGGTTGGTTGAATTCACTGGATACAGAATATGAAGCTATGAAGGATGGATCATACTTGGAGTATCATTTTTAACAGTTTAGAGTCAGAGGAGCAGTAATTAAAAGAAGCTCATCGGGAGTTCCATACAAAACTAAAAGAGTTACCTAAATTCCTGGTACCTCAGATTTGTCATCTGTAAAATGGAGAAAAATCATAGTATCTAATTCTTAGTGTTTTTATAAATGTTAAATTTTCTTATTATGTAGAGCACTTAGGATAAATATACATGTGGTGAAATAGTCAATAAATAAGCTGTTATTTTCTTTTTTTCTTTTTATAACCTATCCCAATTCTTTAAGGGGTCATATGATCACATCATTGGGATATTATTGGGGCATAAAGGGAGCCCTAGTTTAATTGCTCTTTGGGAAGAGAAAGACTTTCTAAATATAATTACAACAGAAGAAATTCCAAAGGAAAAGAGGGAAATATTTGGCTTACTAAAAATTGAAATCTTATGCATAACAAAAAATATATGAAGTCAAAAGGCAAATTAGGGAAACATTTTCCACAAGCATAACAGTTAAAAAAAATCAACATGCCTAATATATTTACAGAGCATTATGCAAATAACTAAGCTAAATAGAAACATCCCAATTGAAAAATGAGCAGAAGACAGGGAGAGACAATTAACAGAAGAAATGGAAAATGGGTAATGGACATTTAGGTAAAATCTACTAATAATACAAAGAAATGAAAACTAAAACAATGTTGATTAAAATAATTTGAAGAGATACCAGACGTTCCGTGAAATCATAGCATTTTTCCTTTCTATTTAATGAAAAATAATGATGTTTTTCATCATTGGAACACAATTAGACCTGCAACTGTTTCACGGTTTTTGTAGCTGATTTCATACAGTATCATTTTCATGATGTATTGATTTGTGTGTGTGTGTGTGTGTGTGTGTGTGTGTGTGTGCTGGAGATTTAACCCAGGACTGCTTAACCATTGAGCAACATTCCCAACCCTTCCTAATTTTTTATTGTTTTTATTTTGAGACAGGTTCTCGCTAAGTTACTGAGGACTTGGCTAAGTTTCTAAGGATGGCTTTGAACTTGCAATTCTCCTGCCTCAGCATCTAGGGCTACTGGGATTCCAAGTGTGTGCCACCACACCCAGCTTGTATTAAGTTTTTGACCAATATAAATGTGTTTACTCTGGACCTAGTGGCATTCCTTTGGGATGTTGCTGGGAGGATGGACATTAAAATTTGAGGAGTGCCCCATTAACTGCCCCTGTATTGGGATATGTTAGCATATTGGGTAGAATTCTAGCCACTAAAAATAGTTGGATGTCCCTCTGCTCTCAACTATAAAGATAACTTTCAATGCCAAAATAAATGTCAAAAAAATCTAGCTTTCATTTTCTCCAGTTATACTATTTTAAAAAAAATCAAATGTTTAGAAGTCACCCTCCTCTTGAAATATAATAGCTAGTATACATTTATGTGTATATATAAAGTGTGTATGTATGTATGTGTGTGTGTGTATGTAGATTTCATTTCACCTTTTCGATTATGGGGCATAGTTAATAGGAGCAACCCTTATATGATACTAGAACCGTGCACAAACATTGCTTTCTTTGCTATGTAAAGTTGTGCTGACATTGGAGTAGTCCACGAGCTGGGAGGGATTCCATGTGTCTTGCAGCATGGCAGACACATCTCTGATAGGAATTCAGTCACCGCACACGCCCTTAATTTAGCTAAAATCAAGCCTTAGGAGTGCGGTACCTGCAAATCTAACCATGCTTCTTCCCTCCTGCAGCCTTGTGAATGAGGTCTATGAGGTCGATGACACCATCCAGACCCTGCAGCAGCGTCTGAGGGAAGCCGAGGACACCCTGCAGTTCCTGGTCCACACCAAAGCTACCCTGGAGCATGACCTGGCTGTCAAAGCCAATACCCTGTACATTGACCAGGAAAAATGCATGGGCATGCGCAAGAGCTTCCCCACCACCCTCCGACTGGTGGGCTACTGTTAGGGACCCTGCCAACAGTGGTTTTGATACTCCTAAGCAAAAGGAGAACCAGGGCCCTGACTCAGCGTTTAACTGAGTGCTAATATATATTCACATATTAAAGCATTGTATTGATAGAAATATACCCATCTCTTGTCTCGGAAAGATTTTTGTACGTGTCTAAAAACTTATTTTCTGCTATCTTCTAGGCTTCTGGGTTATAAGGAATAGATAAAGAAATGCAACCAATTAATGGAGAAGTTAGGCAAGAATACTTGTTGGATTCTTATTCTTTCAGTTAGCTTTTTTGTGGCTGTGACACAAGACTTGAAAAAAAAAACCCACAATTTTAGAGCAGGGGAAAAGTTAATTTTGTGCTCACAGTTTCAGCGGTCTCAGTCCACAGATGACTGGCGCCATTGTACTGGGACCACTGTGAGGCAAAACATCATGGTGGAAGAGTGTGGTGGAGGGAAGTAGCCCAGGACACGACCCCAGGAGGCAGAGGTAGAGCTCCACTCACCAGGGACACAATGTAGACCCCAAAGGCACATACCCAGTAGACCTATGTCCTCCAGCCACACCCTACTGCCTATAGTCACCACCACTTAATCCATTCAAGTGGATTAATGCAGGAGATTAGGTTAGGGCTCTCAATCAGTTCGACCTCTGAAATGTTTCTTGTTGTCTTACACATGAGCTTTGGAGGGACATCTCATGTCTAAACCATAACACTTACTCTGGGTGTAGCATAAATGGGCTGGAAAGCAGGACTGCATTTTCTGTGAGCCACTCAGATCAGGAATCACAATGCTGTAGTTTGGAAGTTGAATGTACTTCAAAGGCCCTTGTGTAAAGGCTGGGTCTCTCCTGTAGTTCTATTGCGGGGGGGATCTGGAGGAGGTAGAGCCTAGTGGGAGGTCCATAGACTATAAGGCTGTGAGCTGCCCTTGAAGGTGATTGTAGACCAACCTCTTCCTCTTTATTCTTTTGTGGCCAAGAGGTATGCAGGGTTTTGTTTTTGTTCCACTTCTCTTTACCATTGCCTCCTAGAACCCCAGAGACCCAAAGCAATGAATCAACAGATCTTGGCCTAGAACCTCCAAAACTGTGACCAAAATAAACCTTTTCTTTTTATAAGTAAATTATCTCGGGTACTTTGTTACAGTGATCAAAAGTTGACTAGCATCCAAAAACAGGTTTCATTTTGAGCTCTGCCTTAAAGGACACATAGAAGTGGAAAGGTCTTTGGGTATGAGGTAATTGGGGTAATTTGAGCAAAAGCATAGGTAGAAAACAGAGTATGTAAGTAGAACAGTTTTGTGTGTGTGTGTGTGTGTGTGTGTGTGTGTGTGTGTGATTTATAATGTAGGGTATACATAAAGAAATAAAATAGTGTGATGCCTAGAAGAGAAGGGGGTGGGAGACTTTCAACTCCAGGTTAATGAACTGGGGAGCTGACATTTTCCTGCCTAGAGACACCTGTCAGCTCTCCAGTTTGTTAAACTGGAGTTGAAAGTCTCCCACCTGCTTCTCTTCTAGACATCACAAAGCATTGAAAGTTTGAAATGGAGAAATGGTAATGGACAAAGGAGACATACAAAACATAACAGGTAGACAGGATTTGGGACATCTTTACATGCAGGGTGCTAAGGGACCCAGGATGACAAAAAGGAGTTGATCCTAGTTGGGATAAAAAAAATGGAGAAACTGCTTGCATTCCAGAAGACTCTACAGTATGTCAAAGATTATTTTTGAAAATAACTTTTGCTATGGTTCGAGTATGTCCCTCAGGATTCATATACTGGAGACTTAATCCCCAAAGACATATGTTAATGGTATGTTCAAGTGAGGCCTTTGGGGAGAGATTGGGTCTTGAGGGCTTTGTCTTCAGAAATGATCAATCCACTCATAGATTAATGATTTTTTTTTAAAAATTCTCCATGTTATGATATTCAGTTATAGCAACAACAACATTTTTGATCATTTAACCTTATTTTTTAACTTTTATAAAAATGTATTTTAAGGCTTTTTTTCCACTTTTTAAGAGTTGCCAAACTGTCAACATCATATTTTTGTTCTATATTCTTTGTCTCTTGCCTTTACATTTTGAGTGTATGTGTGTTTAAATACAGAAGCAAAAACATATAAATGTATTCTGTATAATTTATACCTTTGGGGTTCTGCTCAGAAAGCACTTTCTCATTCCAAGAGTATGTACTTCTAATTGTTTTACAATTCCTTAAATTCCACTTATCTGTCTGGAATCCCTGGGGGGGGGGGGGTAGTGTGGGCTGTATACTAACTTTGAATCCTTTAGCTCTGGAAATTGTGAAATGGGAAGATGTGACTGTAGAAGGCAGAGGTTTTCTCTCTTTTCTACATATTTCTCACTACTCCTGTGCCCCTCCCTGCTGCCCCCATCCTATTAGCATTTCTCTCTGTATGCCTGCATTTTTCTTGCTCTGCCTTAACCATTAATTCCAAACTCCATTTTCTCCTTCTCTTCCCTGTCCTCTGCCTCTTGATGAGTCTCTGCTTTCCTCCACCTGGTCCTCCTCCTCTTCTCCCTTCTCTCTTTTCCTCTCTCTCCTTCTCCCTTCTCTGTTCCTTAAAAGTGCTTTAAGACCTTGGTTAGTCAATTTCACAAGACACCTTAAAATGTCAGAAGAGCTGACATACGGATGATAAACGGGCACCGGGTCTATTTTTGTTGGCTGAGTATATCATTTTGGCAATTAAATTGTAGGTTTTGTAATTCTCCCTTTGCTTCTAATGGAAAGAAAGATATATGGATGCCACAGAAAAGTTGACCAATTAGAGTAATCAAATGTTAGCAGTCACAATGGTATGGGTTTTCAAAAATATGAATTCCACATATCTCATACGTCTTGTGCTTGGAGAAAATCTTCCTGATCTTTTCTATGAATGGCATTATTTTTAAGTTTTTTTGAGCAATACATGCTCACATGGTCTTTTTACTTAAGTCCATATTCCTGGCATTACAAGACTGTGATGGGAAGAAGTATGCAGTGCAGACATAGAAAAAAAAAGTCTAGTTTTCTTGTTATTTTGGTAAACTGTGGGCAAGGCTAAATTCTGCAAATAAACATTTGGTTTCCAGCTTAAAACATTTGCTGCTGCTTTGTGAGGGCACTTATTCCAACACTGAAGTTCACAAGCAGCCAAGACTTAGAGAATGTGATCATATTTAAGAATCTCAGGACAACAAATATCTGCACATGATCTGGCTTAATCTACTTAGGCCCAAACTATCTTTAATATTATGTGGCCTCAGAAGGGGTTGCTGGAATGTCCAAGGCTTCCACTTACCCAAGCATCATTCAGATTTAGAAATGTGTGTAATTGCCCCTAAATAGCCAAGCTACCTATAATTTTAGTAATTTCCATTTATGTCTCTGGAGAGTGTTGTCATAAACACCTCTCACCTGGCCCTTTTGCCTCCTGAGTTCATGCTGTAAATAGCTGAACCATGGAGTCTAGTTTTAGGTTATAATTTTTGTTTTACCCTTTGTGTACAGAGCACATGGTGGTGGTGGTGGTGGTGGGTGGGGTAGAGCTGCTTCTTGTCTTTGTACCTCATGTCTTTCCTTGCAGCTTCTTTCTGGCCTTGGCTCTTGCACTGTTCCCAGGAGGGCTGAATGCACCATTGGTTCCCATTGCCAAGACCAGCATTGCATGCATAGTGCACCAATAGTATTTCCTGAACCCTATTATTTTAGCTTTCCAGTGACCTACTTCTTCCAGCCACCCTCTACCTGCCTACAGTTACCAACCTGTTAATCTATATCAGTGGATGAACCCACTGATTAGATTAAACCTGTTATAATCCGATCATTTCTCTTCTGAATATTCTTGCATTGTCTCACACATCACATATGAGCTTCTGAGGGGACACCTCCCTGGTCTCTGGTGGATGAGTAGCTCCATGTGATTGAGTGGAAGAGATATGAGTCATTTAAGGCTTATGTATTTAATTGCCAATGTGAGACTCTCTAATACTTTATTTCTTTTTACATGACAAACCAGAGAATTTTGAGATATTTTTGAGTGAGCACAATCAGCAGAATTCACCTGATTGCACACTGTGGCCATGTAACACAGGTAAGAAATATATCTGTATTTTTTAAGCCACTGATATTTTTGGCTTATTTGTTACTGCATCCTAATCTGGCCTATCCTAACTAATACGTCAGCCATAAGAAATTGATGAGGGCAAGAACTATCTAGTGGTTGGTCATTTTCCACTGTGAATTTCAGACTCTGTCCTTTCTCAGAAGGCAAGCTGTAGTGTTGGCCAAGCAATTGAGCATGTGCCCAATGCATTGCTTAGAAATAGCAGGCTAAGACTAGATCTTTTGCACTTATTTAGAAAATAGGACTAGTGGAGGTGTTCCAAGCATAGAACAAGTGAGCCAGAGCTTTAGATGTTTCCAAATCTGAGAGCCAAAACAACCCAAGGCAATTGAGTGTCAATTCTCTGAAAGGCTGTATATCTGGGATGGCAAACTCAAATGCTGAGAGGTCCAACCAGAAGACTGACGTTCCTAGTATAACTCTACTATAATAAAACAACAATAATAGTATTATCATGAAGACAAGTGGCAGGTGATATTTAGCCGCTAAACTGGGGAACATCAGAGAGTGTTGGGGGAGTGAAGAGGAGACCTAGAATAAACTGAAGGGCATGTTCTCAGACGAATGGTATCCACCATTCTTCTCTGGCCAATTATCACCAGGAATGTGTCTCTGTGTGATGGAATATCTGTATCCTGCTATTGAAGTTATTGAATCCCTACTAAGAGTCAGAAGGCTCTGGCTTGGGAAGATGACTGAGGGCAAGACCGAAATACTACAGTGGTAACTTCATATGCATATTTTTTTTCCCACACAACTTCATAAATAGAACAGCCGGGCCAAGGAGCCCTGGTTTAGTTTTGGAGCTTAGATTTATTATATTTGTACTTTAAATTGTAGCATTGATGGCCGCATTGGACTTGAGATAAACTGAGGCCTGAAATGCCTGAATGTATCAAATGGAAAAGTTCACGTGATGCAATCTTAATTAGCTGTACCCATATAACATTCCAGGAGAAAATGGGGAATTGTATCATTCAGGGGAAAATAAGATCTATAAAAATGACTTTAAAAGTATATGGTTGTTGGAAATCAAGAAATATGACCATTGTACAATATAATCCATGTCTACACAAGCAGTATTCTAGTATAGTTTAATTCTGTTTATAAAAAGCAAAAAAGCTTGAAATCCTTTAATACAAACTTTGAGATGGAATAGGACAGTAGGGAGAGGAAGAGTGAGATGAGGCATGGGCTTTTTTTGTGGCAATTGAAGGGCTTTGTGCAAACCCCAGACTGGTGACATTGAAGGACAAGATGGCACGAATCTTGTGATTCTTTTGCTTTGGATGATTTTACAGAAGACTGGCTTCATGGTTAGAATGTAATTTGGAGACGAATAATTATCAAATAAAAATTTGAATACCAGACCCAGTGTTACTGAAACACTCCGGCTCCACAAAGAGACTGAAACAGCTAAAGAATGAAATTAGTCCACAAAATCAGTCAAATGATAAAATGCTCAGGAGAGCAAATTATGTACTGTTATCATCAAGTCAGGTGTTTGTTTTAAAACACACACACACACACACATATTTGGTTTAGAACATACTAGTTTTTAAGGATTTAAGTTTTAACTTTGGAGGGCCAAGATAATGGAGCAAAAGACTTACATTTTATATCTTAATATTACTGAAAATTATTTTTAACAGAAACATGTTATCTTTTGAAAATGATGAAACAGTAACTTACGTAATAGGATAAAATCTTATGTTACAATTATCTTTTTTTAATATTTATTTTTTAGTTGTAGTTGGGCACAATACCTTTATTTTATTTATTTATTTTTATGTGGTGCTGAGGATCGAACCCAGCGCCTGGCATGTGAGAGGTGAGCACTCTTCCACTGAGCCACAACCCCAGCTCCTATTACAATTATCTTTATGAATAATGTTTAAAGATAAAATACCTTCTATAATAGTCATGTGAAGATGATGCAAAGTTTTATATATCGTTGGGAATACATACTCAAAGGAAATAGGCTAGCAGAAGCTAATCAGAATCTTAAAATGGTTGTCTTCGGATGGTGGCATGTTATTATTTTTTCTTTGTGCTCTTTTTGATTTCTAATTTTCTAGAATAAGAAAGCTGTACAATTGTAAGAAAAGTGAAAACCTTTTTAAGTTTTACTTTAATAGGAGCAAGAAAGTAAGAAA